CCGTGGATCGTCATCAGTGCCGTGTGGGTGGAGATGTTGTGTCATGCGGCCAGCAGCTGCAACTCGTATGCTCACGCCAAGCAGCTGAGCCAGGGCGGAGAGCTCCTCACCCTTGTCTGGTTACTCATGGCTCACATGGGAATTGCTGAACAATACAGGATCGAAGGAGGCGATGCCAGAGCAAAATTTGTAGTCGAGATCTAATCACAAGAACCAGAAATTTAGAATCGCTCCAATTAAATCCCTCGCAATCCAAGAATTTAGACCGCTCTCTCGTCCTTCCCTGCTCTTCTGATTTCATCGCATAAAAAACGGTGTCATGTACCCATGAAAAATTGCAGAGGTGATGTCATCTCTCACAAACCTCTTCTGTGATGATCCAGTTCATCACAATAGTACTCAATCATCATGTACTGGAATGTTTCTTGACGGTCATAAATCATTATAGCAAAATCATGATACATTTCGAATATATAAATATTATAAACAACACAATTCAATTGGCATGCAGGTTACTTTACGTGGTGCTATTTGATGTTTCATCTGACAAGCGGAGAAATTGGATTTAGAAATCTAATGCTAAATTATGGCAACCGTCATATATTAAAAAAAGGATTATTTTCCTGCAAAGTCCTCTTTTTTTATTTTTTCTGATGCTTCTGTTTTTATTTTTCTTAGATAATACCCTTATTTTTATAATTTCATAAATATCCTTATCTTTCTGCCATCACTTCCGTCCTATCTCGAGACGATGACGTCCATCTCGCGTCTATAGGTGGGAACGTTATGACGCTCTAACACACTAACACACCCTCAACCTCTAGAGATCCTGTCCTTTTATAGGCGAGAGCAGAGGGTCTACGATGAGATAATTCCTCATCAAGAATATCTCTGAGGAATCGTTCCATAGTGGACTTAGTCTTGGCTAAAATATCTGAACGGAACCCAATTAATTATTCTATTATATATCTTATTCAATTATAAAAGGACCACATATTCGAACACTTTCTCCCCCCTTCGTTCCCCCTCCTCGTTCTCCTCCCCTCTTCTCTCATCGCTCACCTTTTCCTATCATCTCCACCCACCCTTCCCTTTAAGCTCTTTTCTCTCCTCCTCTCTTCCCCTCCCCTCTCCACCCACCCTTTCATATCATCTTTTTCCTCTCTCTCTCTCTCTCTCCTCCTTTCCATTCGTTCGTCTTTCCCCTTTTTTCTTCTTTTCCTCCTCAAAGGTGACAAAACCTCGCAATGGGAGTAGGGGGGATGGGTGGACGGTGCCGCCTCGTAGTGGAGGGGAGACAGTGATCAAGAAGGAACCGAGAAGGATAAAGGTGTTTATGAGATTACAAATAATATGGGGACCTATATAAGAGAAACGAAAATATGGGATACCATATAAGAAAAAAAAAGATGTATTTTAGGAAAATCGGTCTTCAAAATATGTATGGGAGAGAAAATTGAGTTAAGCCTAATCTAAATAATTTTCATGATTTTGTATAATATGTTATTACTACATCATACTTACACGGTGAACAATTTTGATTTTTGGAAAGCTTTCTCTTATTTTATTTATGATATTTAATATGATATGTTTCTTATTTTATTATATTTTAAGAGTTAAAATATCATTATTTGATGAGCGAAAGAGTTGTTATTTGTGATATTTAAAATCTCTATTTAATAAATAGGAGATCAATTTTATTAATATAAATTTTGATTGTTCAATTCGAATGTTGATTTGAAGTCAATCAAGATTTAGTATCAAAAGTATGGAATATTACCTTCTTGTTAAGACGACTAGGGAGTGGTTATTCATCCTTTATGACAACTAGGGAGCCTAGATGGAGTAGAGATCTGATGTCTAACAAAATATCAATTTTATAGGACGATGATGTCTAATTGGCACCTAATCGAAGAGTAACCTTGACACACGAGATCTGAGAAAAAACTAGCACATGAGAGGATAGCGAAACTTGACAAGAGATATTTTAGTTTATCATCTCATCATTGCAGATTCCCTTTTGGTGTAATAGATGCTGATATAGATGAACCAATATGGGAGATGACAATATAGATAAGATGATTTTATTATGTATCAATGTAGGATTGATGTAAGATACTTTTTCTTATCATTTGTGATCTAAGTTTTGACTAAATAATGGTATATATTAATAGTGTTTATAGGATGATTTTTCTAAAAGATACTTCCATTTAGGGGTTTCCTTAATAGCACTATCCTTTTTGGTTTTTCTTAAATAATATATTCCTAAATTTAAACGTATTGAAATTGTCTCTCAACTTTCTTTGTTGCCTTTGCCACCTTCATCGTTGTCGCTACCACTCCCATCGCTTTTGTCATCGTCACTTGTACCCCCATCATCTTTGTCATTATCGCTTGCACCCCCACTATTGCCTTCATCCCTTTGTCCCATCATTGGTGGAGAGAGGAGGGAGAGGAGGAGAAAAAAGAGAGAAAGAGGAAAAGATGAGAAAGATAATATAATAAGGAAATACAAAGCGATAGAAGAGAAGAAAAAGGAGGATGAAAAAGAGAGAGAAGAAAAACGAGAATGGCAGCACGATTAAAGAGGCGACGAAGATAAAAACTAAGGGGAAGTAGAATGATAGTTTAGCAACATTACTTGAAAAGACTAAAAGGGGATATTGTTTGAGCAAACCCTAATGTAAAAGTTTTTTTTTTTTTTTGTGAAAAATCATGCAAATTTATATTACATTTGATAAAAAAAAGAAGGGGTTCTACATCCCTCCTTCGATTTATATAGCTAAAACTTATGACAATATCTATCTAGCATTGCATACAACGGCTATATGTTATAACAACAATAAAAATAAAAAGGTGATTAGTGTTCTGTCCTTGAGGAGGAAGATCATTAATCATACTTTATCAAAACTCTGATGTTATCCTCTTCTCACAAGTCTTGAATCCATCACCTTTCTCTTTAATACCAAAGCTCTGTTCCTTAACAAGCCATCGATCTTAGCACGCATTCCCGATTCGTTTTGTCCCCACGAGGGAATAAAAAAAGAAGGAAAGAAAGTACGGTTTCTTCCGATACTAGTTTTAGAAGCACACTCAAGAACCGAATCCTGCGAGGCCAATATTTTTGTCACAGTCAACTTGCACTACCTGTCTGCGGATGACTGAAAGCAACGGCTCCACAGGTGGAATCCCTCATGGGAATTGCTGCTGCGCCTGAATCATCTGTCTCGACCGAGGCACCAGCCAAGGAAACAGCGCTTTTCCAGTCGGTTGGCAGAGCTGTGTATGGTGGAACACACACTATCGACCAATGACGAGACGGACGTCCCTGACTGGTACGGTAGCTCGACAGCGCTTCTCTCGGGTGAGCTACTCAAGCAAGGAACAAGTAGGAAAAGCAAATTTGGCACAAAAGCGTTGCTTGCGACGGTCATGTGATGAAGTAAAAAGATGGGAGCTCGATTGCTATATATGAGGAGTTCGCGTTGTGTCGGAGGGAGGAGAAGGCGTAAGAAAGAGAGGCGGGCAGATGAAGATCGTCCCCACGAAGATCAGGAAACTATGGAGTGCGGATGAAATCCGCATCCTGGTCCTCCTCAGCCTCGGCTTCCAGATCGTCCTCATCGTCGTCTCCCTCTTCCGGAAGCGGTGCCAGAACAGGCTGTTGAGCTTCATCCTCTGGACTTCCTACCTGGGCGCCGACTACGTCGCCGCCTTGGCGCTCGGCAACCTCCTCAACGACGAGACCGAGGCGAGCGAACAGAACATCAACGGCGACCTCACCGCCTTCTGGGCTCCCTTCCTCCTCCTCCACCTCGGCGGCCCCGACACTATCACCTCCTACTCCCTGGAGGACAACGAGCTCTGGCTGCGCCACTTTCTGGGGCTGGTGCTCGAGGTCTCCGTGGCCATCCTGGTGTTCCTCGAGTCGCTGCCGAGCCCCCACTTGTGGAAAGTCGCCATCGTGGTGTTCATCGCCGGAATCCTCAAGTACGCGGAGCGGACGCTGGCGCTTTGGTCGGCCAGTATGGACCAGCTGAGGGAATCCATGATCAGCGACCCGGATCCCGGGCCTAACTACGTCAAGTTCATGCAGGAGTATCACTCTCGTGTTACTGCGGGGCTGAACGCAGATATCAAGACAGAGAAAGAGCCACGGCCCCCCCTTCCCAAAGATACAACCGAAAAAAGAACCGACAAGGAGATCATATTCGGTGCCTATCGCTTCTTCCCGACCATCAAGCGGCTCACTGTGGACCTCATGCTCAGTTTCCAGGATCGGATCGAGAGCCAAACCTTCTTTCTGACGCTCGAAGCTACCCGGGCTTTCTTCATGGTCGACGTGGAGCTCTCTTTACTGCACGACATCCTCCACACCAAAGCCGTCCATGTCCATACCCTAGGAGGTCGCCTGGTGCGAGCCTTGTCGCTCTCCTTGGTAGTCCTCGCCTTCGTGCTCTTCCACCGTAGCGGGAGGCACAATTTTAGTGAAGCCGACATCATCATAACTTACATCCTTCTCCTTGCCGCTGTTGGGCTCGAGGCCATCGCCGCTGTCCTGCTCGTATTCTCGGACTGGACCATCGTCGCGCTGCAGGACAGCGGCAAGCTGGAGAGGCCCTTCATCGCTCGCCTGAAAAAAATCATCAGGTTTTTAAAATTGGATCTTGCAATCGTCAAATTTCGAGGTGGCACAAGGTGGTCGAATTCCATGAGGCAGTGCAACCTACTATGCATCTGCCTCAGAGATTACGAGCAAACCGTGTTCACAAGAATATTGCATTTCCTCGGATTGAAAGAACTGTGGGATAGCTATTGGCACGTGGAAGATACCATCGTAGGGGATCAGCAGAAGACGCTCATCTTCGAGGAACTGAAGAAGAAAACATACGGCGCCGAGGGAGAGTCCACCGAGTACAAGCGATTGCGAGCCTGCAAAGGCGAATGGGTGCTTCGGGAAAAGGGCTACACGGACTTCGACTGGAGCATGAATAAGGAATTCGACGAAAGCGTCC